GAGATGGGTACTCACTTCTCTTTCAATCTCAGCGAGTTAGAAAGAGAAGGGAGTATATCCATGTGTACCCGGGTGACGTTTCCGAACGCAGCCTACATCGCAACATGTAGCGATGTAACTACAAGTATAGATCTAACGAAGAAGCCACCGTGCGTGCATATGTCGCGCAAAATATCTAAGGAATTAGATACGCTTCACCGGGCAGAAAGACGCCTATAACGTTCGCGTAATAGGTCATAATTTTGCACTATCGTCCAGTATATTTCCTTAATCCTTAATATATTTTGCAGGTCATGGAAAAGTGAACTGCAAATTAATCTTGCATCAATCAAATATTACATGAGAGTTAAGTGGGAGAGTTTCTATTTCGCTAGACCTCAAAATTTAATAAAGTACTAAAATTTTGATTCAAATATTTTTTTAAGCAGTATATGCATTCTCTTTGCAATTGGTGCAATTTCACTTTTTTTTTAAATACATATTACTCGAGATATTACTTATTTGAGTTAGGTAACGCAATTTTGTGAATTATTTTGTTAGGGAAAAATAAAGCTATATACTACTATTTAGGATTTTTAGATTTACAACATACATTGCGCGTGTACTTGGCGCCTTTTTTACCTTTTTTAAAAAAAGGCAATTTTGTACTGATAAAAATTCACATCAGTGTATTTAAAATCCAATTTAGTCATGGTAATTAGCTCACATACGTTTCGGTACTGCGACGAGATCTCGACTTCCTCCTTTTTCTTCCTGACAAAACACGTCTGAATACGATGAAGCTCGCCAATCAACTGGGAGTTCTGGTTCTCGCCATCATTTTCATCGCGTATCTTGCGTCGCATGGCGCAATATGAGAACGGGGGTTAGGTCGCCTTTCCGCACCGCGCTACACCGTATCCTTGTTTGCCTCCTTCCTGCATCTACGCCGTACTCGAGTGACCGTGAAAGCGCAGATGCAGAGAGCACTCCGGCGAATCGAAATCAATACCATGATGGCCTGCTACGCCGTGGCCTTCTTTTCAGTTAAATCCTTTTACTGCCGTGCCGTGACTAATGCGAGTGTCTATCGTGTCACTGAAGTATTAAACGATTTATAAACTGGTTAATTTAAAAATGTAGTTTTTTTTAGAGATATGTATTTTAATTCAGGAAACAGGTACTAAATTATAAATTTTTGTCGGAATAAAATTGCATTAGTTTCGGGACGACGCAAATAAAACAGTTAAAATATTCTTTTTCGAGCTTTACAGTGTACTACTCAATAGCAACGCAGGCATGACAAATTAATTATGCTTCGATATATCAAAATGGATGTTTCTAAAGTGATGTAATAAATTAGTTTGCTATTTTTTTGCGATATATTCAATTTCAACTCGAATCAGAATTATATTACGTTATATTAGAATAAGTTTTTTCACTTACCGACAGATGTGCAGCAGCGGAATTATCAGCCACGTAGCTACGTCAATTCTGTAACATATAAGATTTAAAATAAAGTTAAAAAGCGTTAAAAGTGATTAATTTTTCAAAAAATAATTCTTATAAACAGTGAATTTTTTATTCATTTTTCAATTAAATATTTTTGAAATAATGATATACTTTCCGAAAGAGATCTTCACAAGAATAAAATTTTATAAAATTTTAAATATTTTTACTCTTGTGTAAAATTAATCATTTCTTTGTGTTTATTTGGATAGTTTGATTTTATTCATTTAAAAATAATAATTAGAGATAAAAAAATAATTTACCGCAAGGTTGGTCCGCTGGCGCCCGATGCCTACCCAAGGTCTCTTCCTCCTCTCAGGCCATCCAGATAGTCTGCTGCGTAGGATTTTCGTGTCGTGTGCGTGTGTTGTACAGATCTCAAGATTATCAGCTGCAGAATACAAAGATCTAATTCTACTATCAGTAATGCAATTTTCCCTCTAACCCACCGTTGATATTTCTTCTTTTTCTTAGTCATGGTAATTAGCTCACATACGTTTCGGTACTGCGACGAAGAGATCTCGACTTCTTTCTCGTCGGAAATCTGTGAGATTTGCGCTCCTCTTGTGTTCTTGTCTTTTTTTTTATAATCTGGCCGTCAAGCAATACTACTCTAAATAAGGTCCGGGCGATCCTCTCGTCGTATAAGCCGCAAGCGGTGTAAATTACAAAGGTTGGAGGTTGGAGGCCTCTAGAGGCGTCGATACAAGGTAGTTTTTAGAGATATGAATTTTAACTCAGGAAACAGGCACAAAATTATACATTTTTGTCGGAATAAAATTGCATTAATTTCGGGATGACGTAAATAAAACAGTTAAAATATTCATTTTCGAGCTTTACAGTGTACTAATCAATAGCAATGCAGGCATGATAACTTAATTATGCTTTGATATATCAAAATGATGTTTCTAAAGTGATGTAGTAAATTAGTTCGCTATTTCTTTATTTGATTTGGCATTTTCTTGTCTAAAGACCGTTTAAAGACTCATTTTTTGTCGTTTGTTATGTCAACTTTTCGGAAATAACACCATTATTTTTAGTTACCTAATAAGTGTAGGTGAAACCTTATACCCTTTTTCAGGAGAACAAAATTTTTCTGCATTGCTAATTAATTTGGAGCATTGTGTTCAAAATTTGCTATGCAGTTTGAGAGGAAGTTTCGCAGACTATCTCGCAAACATAGCGGAGCGTGTTTTAATCTTTTAGCCAC